AATCTAACCAAGGACTAAACCAGGATTAAACCAGGACTGAATCGAGACTAAACCAGGACTAAACCAGCACTAAACCTGGTCTAACCAAGGACTAAACCAGAATTAAAACAGGACTAAAACAGAACTAAACCAGAACTAAACCAGGATTAAAACAGGGCTAAACCAGGACTAAACCAGGACTACATCAGGACTAAACCAGGACTAAAACAGTTCTAAACCAGGACTAAAGCAACACTAAAGCAGGACTAAAGCAGGACTAAACCAGGACTAAACCAGGACTAAAATAGGTCAACACCAGGACTAAACCCGGACTAACCCAGGAGCAACCCAGGACTACATCAGGACTAAAACAGTTCTAAACCAGGACTAAAGCAGGACTAAAACAGGACAAAACCTAGTCTAACCAAGGACTAAACCAGAACTAGGCCAAAACTAAGCCAGGACTTAACCAGGAGGACTAAACCAGGTCTAACCCAAATGAGCATCTCTAACAGACAGAACAGCCCTGTAACCCACTTTTTGAGGATCACACTGTATGTTTAGCCAGGCACGCACAAGTCCACCCACAAACCGATCTCCACGACGATGATTCATTAATAAAAACTGTTACTACATCACTATTTTGTACCGGACTCGAATTTCAGCATTGGTGGCGTGATGCGGAGTCAGGTTTGGACACGAGAGCGGTTCCATTATTAGAGGAATGTTCAAATACAAATGTCAAACCCACTCGGCAGAATAATTATCTGAAAAGAGGGATTTTCCTCTGACTCACCTGGCAACCACCAACCACCTGCCAGCAACCAGGGAGGTACAGGGGAGTTAAGCCCAGGTCAAGGTTAAGTCAGAGTGATGTGGTGAAAAAAATATGTAAGTAGAACCACAAATTGTATTATATTCCTCAAATTAAGTGCTAAACGAAACAATAATCTGCTGGAGTGCCAAAAAAATAACTCGACGTGTATTATCAGGATACTACAAAAACATTTCTGTCAGTTTTGGTAGTGATTATTAGTGATTCTTTTTTTTTTTTTTTTTCTTGTGCCGTTCTATAAAAATACAGCCATGGCAATTTTCCCTATTATTGTAATTATTGTAAAAATAATTATTGTTACCCAACCTAAGACTGGGCACGGTTAGACTGGCACCACTGTGAAATTTTAAAGAAACATCAACTTTTTAACTTTGAAAATTTTACCAATTTTAATAATCTTAATTTATTTATTAAGTGTCTTAACTGCGATACACGACTGTATTCAGAACTTGCCAGGACCTTAAAATGTTCAGATGACATGGCAGAGCGAACACAAGAGGAGCTATTAGTGGTAATTGCGTTGTTTCTATGTCCAGGACAAACTTTAAGGGCCGTTCACACCAAAGCGTCAAAGTGTCCAGTTTCTATGTAAAGTCGATGTGGACGCGCGACTAGAGCGTCCTGCGTTTTTGTGGTGCAAATCTGGTGTTGACGTGGCGCGTCTTGAGCGTTTTCGCGTTGACGCTCTAGGCCCGCGTCCAAGGCGTCAGCATCAAGAAGTTGAAAATGCTGAACTTTTCGCATCAGACGAGCCGCGTCGACCAATCAGGGACGAGTATCCAGTGACGCAGCGACGTTATTATCAGGAAGAAAAACCCGAGAACCAGAGCGAGAACCACAAACATGAGCGGAGAATAAATATATACGCCACAATCACCGACCCGATCACGAGGACTACACCAGAACTGGACCAGGACTAAACCAGGACTAGAACGAGACTAAACAAGGACTAGACCGAGACTAGACCGAGACTAAACCAGGACTAGACCGGGACTAAACAAGGACTAGACCGCGACAAGACCGAGATTAGATTAGTGAATTGGCTCAAATTACCTTGCATCAATTAAAAATTAACATTTTACTCCAAGTTTTTTTTTGAAAATCTACCTTGATAAAGCGAATATTTAATATTTAGTGTGTGGTTTTAAGGATCTTAGCATGTATAAAGTCTAATGGCTCATTCTAACGTGTTAAACATGCACATATTTCAATGATTCTGTGTAAGGAGCCCCAGTCTAAGGCCCTCGATCCTCCCTCTGCTTCATCTGTGTTTAGATATGTGGCCTTTGATGAAAAAAGTTTGGACACTGCTGCTTTACGCTGACACACACTGGATATCACCATTTTTTGGGAATTACGCTTTTACCAGGACCAGGAGTTTGGTTCATATTATCAGTTTGGCTTCAACTTCATCAACACCCATTTATTTATTATCTGCTTTATTATCCACACTGATTTATTTATTATCCGCTGATACACATCAGTGCGGTGGATGTATTGGCTCACTGACGCGCATTTAATGCCAGGGAACTGAAAGTTGGCACCAGAAGTTAGTTTTCAGTCGGTTTCTACTTGGAACCGAGTTTCCAATCCCAAAGTGGGTACAAGAACACATCATAAATTTTACAGTATTTGAATTTAAGCCAGTGGTTGTAAATTTGAAATCCTTAGAAAAGTTTTGGAGGATTTTGTACATCAGTGTTAAAACTGTAGTATCTGACATTATACTACTTAAAGTCACAATGTGTAACTTTTTACCCAAAAATATACAAGAAAAAAAGAATGAGAACTTCGCACATCAATGACTTGAGACGGGTGCGTTGGAGGAGATGGAGCAGCCCAAGAACATGGAGAAAAATCCCGCACACCGTCTTACTTGCAAATTGTGAGATTTATTTGGACAAACCGTGCAACGTTTCGGCACTAGGCCTTCGTCAGACAAACAGAACGAGAGCTCAGGTGGTCATCTTAAATAGGGCGTGGCAAGCACCCAAGGGTGACAGGTCATAAAGAAACAGTGTACCAAAACAATTCACAGAACAACAACAATCAACATATAGTGTAATAATAATGATACTAATAATAATAATAATGAAATATTAATCATAGTACAAAAATCATAGAATAATAAATCGGGTATAGTGGCCACCTGAGCTCTCATTCTGTTTGCCTGACGAAGGCCTAGTGCCGAAACGTTGCACTGTTTGTCCTAATAAATCTCACAATTTGCAAGTACGACGTTATACGGGATTTTTCTCCATACCCAAAAATATACAAAAATGAAAAAAAAAAAAAGGTTGTTTTTCAATTTGAGTTGCTTTTATCCATCTGTCCATCCATTTTCTTCTGCTTATCTGGGGCCAGGTCGCGGGGGCAACAGTCGAAGCAGGGACTTCCAGACTTCCTTTCACCCCGGACACTTCCTCCAGCTCCTCCAGGGGGACCACAAGGTGTTCCCAGGCCAGTCCAGAGACATAGTCCCTCCAGCGTGTCCTTGATCTCCCCGGGACCTCCTTTTGGTGAGACATGCCCGGAACATCTGTCCAGGGAGGTGTCCAGGAGGAGGCATCCGGAACAGCCACCTCAACTGCTCCTCTTGAAATGGAGGAGCAGCGTCTCTACTCCGAACTCCTCCTATGCGACTGAGTACCTCACTCTATCTCTAAGGGAGCGCCCAGCCTCATTTCGACCGCTTGTATCAGCGATCTCGTCCTTTCGGTCATTACCCAAAGCTCATGATCACAAATGAGGGCAGGAACATAGATTGAGAAGTAAATTGAGAGCTTCACCTTTCGACTCAGCTCCATCTTCACCACAACAGTTGCTTTTTTGGAGCGTGACATTGACAGTTGCTTTTATTCCACTGAAAGTTATAATAAAAAGCATTCGCCCTTACTTGGAGCAGGGCTTGCATCTCCGCAAACCTGACTCTTTGGCCTTATTTGACCTGAATGAGGGCCAATAACACACTGTACCGTATTTTCCGGGCTATTAGGCGCTCTGGATTATAAGACGCACTGTCATTAAATGGTCTATTTTTGAACTTTTTCACAAATAAACCACGTGGGACTTTAAAGGAAACCCAACAGTGTGATGGGTGAGTGGTTTTGTTTGTTTGTCGTTCACGGTGAGGGTTCAGTTGTGGCGTGTAGGGAGGGTGTGTCTGGGACCCGCTGGATTGTCGGCGTGTTCGCAGTGACTCAGTTGTTCAGTCGTGTCTAGAAGTGGCACATTGCGCTCGCTTTTTCGGTTCGTTCCTCCGTTCCGTTCCTCGTCGGCGTGGAGTGATGAGTGTGTCTGTGGGTGTTTTTCGCTGTGCGGTCGCTGTCTGCTCCGTGTGTGTTTGCGTGTTCTGCGGGTGGTGCGGCTTTGTAGTTTACTGAAGTCGTCCTGGGACACCCGAGGGGATTGATGTATAGGACGCTCTGGATTGTGGGGTGCGCGGTCGTTTTTTGATGGGGTTGGAGGCTTAAGAGCGCGTCTAATAGCTCGGAAAATATGGTACCTTTAAAGAAGTACCTGCTATTCTGCTTAAGTCTGCTCATAAAGTTATAATTTAAAGTTTGTTTGGCTGATTTATTTGTTTAGTACCAAGTTTAGAGGGTGCTATAATTAGAAAATACTCAAGAAACATTGGAAACTACTGGTTTGATCATAAACATTAGTCAGTCAAGAATATTTTTTACAGTCTGCAACACCTCTAACGTGCACACCTTTAGATTTCCTTGTGTAATATAACAACGTGACTGTTCTCTCAGACAGGAAACAGCCAGTGTGAGATACAGATATGAGGTTATATGATTTGTGGTCGAGCCAAAGACACTGACTCAACCTCTGTTTACATTCCTGCACTCCGCCGCGATGCTATCTGCCGAGATGGGAAAGACAACGCGTTTGGGTCGTACAGGAGCAAGAGGCGACCTCATAGAGCGACTTCCAAGCTGCAACTTTTCAAGGAATTTCCAGCAGATAACACGCACTTGAAGTCTGCAGGGATGAGGGCTTTGAGACTTGTCATTTTTGATTTGTTCGTTTTTACCTCCAGTGAACCAAACCACACACAGACGCAGAGAGGCCCGGAGGCAAAAAACCGTCACTCAAGAGCGTTTTAGGCCCCAAAAGGAAAGTACCTGTGTCCATATGTGTAGGAAGCAAGGAGGGGGAAGGATTTAAACGTGACACGCACCATTGATGACTATCTGCGCAGGTCGGGTTGAGCCGCACGGCCTCCTCGCCCACTCTCTTCCCTGAGACGACACACAAAAGGGAAAAAATAAGGATCATTAGAGGGAGGGAAAAGCAGGTTCAAAGTCTAATTGAATTTGGAGTCAGGGGGTTTTAAGCTCATCACTTTTTAACCGAACAGAGTCAAAGATTGTTAAAAGTGTCCTGCACCAATAGAGTTTAAATTAAGTTCTGGAAAATGTCTGTTAAAAATTGACTTAAACCTCATTTAATATTAAGAAAGGTTAAAAGTCACCCTTCCACATCCTTACTGCAGTAGAATAGTGCCCCAAGCCTTGTATTGTTTGTAATTGTTGGTTTATTTTTTACTACACAAAACTTGAAAACCTAAAAAAATAAAAAGTATTAAGAATGGTCAAAGGTGCTGTTCCTAATCTATTTTTTACAATCTTAAAAATGTTAAAGACAGACTTAGTTCATTTGGAAATGTTTACAATGGTCATCACTTCTTCACCTTCCAAAAACATTCCTACGTCCCAATTTTTCACAGCAAAATATTAATAAGTGTTTTTAATAACTTCTAGAGGTCAGAGCGGCAGTCACACTAACACTAACAGCAAATATTAGCATCCTAACATTACACTTCCTGATGCTTGGCCAAAAAAAAAAGCTTTACAATTACATTTATCAATTTTATTTTTCCCACAATTTTAAATTAAATTCCCACACTTAAACATATATGTAAATATGTACATGCAGTAGACATACAGTATCATATGTGTGCCAATATGTGATAACTGAAAAAAACAAAACAAAAACATGGACACCTACAGAAGCTGGGCAAGTTTTAATCATATGGGGTCCATCACCACAGCATAACGTCTTGACAGATTCAGTTTTAGGTTAAAGTACAACAGACAAGATAATAAATTAATAATTATATGCACAGAGGACATCTAATTATTAATTTCTAGCACACTGATTAATAATTAGATGCAGACAGCAGACAGCAGTCACATTTTCACTCTAAGTTGACTTAAGTCACTGCTGAACCTTACACCTTTACCTGTACTTTTCCTGTTTAACTGTATATTGTTGTTGCGTTGTATGTACTTGTCAGGGTTCCCACTTTTTATCACTGACAAAATTTAAAAACTTTTCCATGACCTAAAGTGAATTTTCCATGACTTTACAGCACCTACATGTGTAGAATTGATCAGACTTTTAGGGCTAAATATGAAATGTGAACTCTTTACTCTCATCTTATGGTTTGGGATTATAGTTTTTGAACATTTAGAATCCTGTCAGTGCATTTATTGTCGTCTCTTTTAAACAAAAATGCGCAGACGTTTGGAAATAATAATAGTCTAAAGAGAACTTAACACAACACTGTAGATGCATGAAAAGAGATACTAAAATTCCATTACTTTTTCAGGCCTGGAAAATGGCATTTTCACTTTCCATGGCTTTTCCAGGATTTCCATGACCTTGTGTGATGTTCTTATATGAATGTTTTTAAGCTGCTGGCTGCACCAGAATTACCCCTCGGCAAACACATGAAGAAACCTAAATCTAAATCTAAGAGCTTTTACAATATACTGCATATACTGTGTAATTTTCACTATGCAAACTGACTGCTTATGTCCATGGTGCTTGTGTGTATTTCTTTGCTTCGCTTGCTCAGTGTGACACAAAAAAAGCACTGTGTAACTTTTCTGGTGGAAACACTGTTCTCTATGGAGTGTCATTGCTCTGCCTACTATGACGTTAAACAGCTCTGCCTTACATTTATTAAACTGGTGGTTTTATAGGTCATAAACACCAAAAATATATTTTTCAGACTATAAGGTGCACCGGATTATAAGAAGCATTAAGCGAAACAAAAGGACGACACTTGAGACTGATCCTTAGTCCATCGTCCACGATCCATTGGCAGATCGTGGTGTAATTCGCTCGCCGTTGCCTCTCTGTCTTGGTGAATGTGGATTATGAATGTGAATGTGGGTGGATCATTTAAGTTTGTTTTTTAAATTTCCTACAAGGACGACTCAAATATACATTGAGTAATAATGTCTTTAATGCAGCTTTGCGCACATTTGTTTACGTTTTACAGAAATGAAAATTAACACCACATGACTCATTTGCATAAACTATAAGTTCTGAAAAAACAGCTCACTCCTTGTGCGCTGATTCGGTTCAGCTTCTGTGGAACTAAAGAACATGACTCAGTGGAATATGTTTGTTCTTTCTGTGACAGAGAATATGCTGCTGATGGTGAGTCTCTTCCATGCTTCTATCGCGTTGGAGATGGTTCATGTGAAACTTTTCAGAGACTCCTGACTACGGTTGCCGTAATGCTCCGACAATCCATCAAGCGGTGCGGCTTCATAGTTTACCAAAGTCGTACTAAAACATTTTTAACAGATTTTTGAGCCCGTGTACCACATAAAATCGGTTCGAGGTCAGTAAACACAACCAGAATTAATACACAGGGTGCACCAGATTATAAGGCACACTGTTGATTTTTGAGAAAATGAAAGAATTTTAAGTGCGCCCTATAGTCCGAAAAATACGGTACCTAGTAAAACAGGCATTCTGACTTTGAGCGGGGTCGCCTTTCCACAGATCTGACCTGTAACTTGGTCTGGTTTGGTCTCCATGAAGATGGAAATGAGCCAAGCGTTTGATGGGCCCTCCACAAGAAAAGTTACTTGTATTTAAATAACTACATGTTCTAATTTACTGGAAAAATAAATTAAAAACAGAAGAACATTCCTACCCTGACAAAAAAAAATTCCATTCACCAAGCAGAGAAGTGTATATAGGGTTTGAAAATATTTACTACAAAAACGTCTTATGAAACCATTTGAAGAAACAGGTCATGCATGTCTTCATTCACAAAATACTGTTGTGCATTAGCTGAGACAATACTGGGCGACTGAAAAAACAAAACAGGACGCAGATAAAACAACGACTACTCTTAACAACAGGATTAAAACATAAGTGATAGCTGCACAACCGGGAAGTCTCAAATCATTCATGTCTATTTGTCAAATGGTATGTTTTATATGCTGAAAGGTGGAATGCCTTGTATCAATATTTATTTTAAATCCGAACGTGGAGGATTGTGAGAAACCGGTGGATCCAGTTTGCGTTTTGTCGAATCACGGAAGGAAAAAGCATTAGTTTGGCTGCGGGTTTGGTGTAGTCAGTGTAAGGTGAGAGCGCATGAAGAGTCATTGTCCTGTCACCCGCGGGACCGACCTCTGCACACTGTGTTCATGGCGACGCAGGAGCTCAGCGAGATCGTGTTACTGTATGTGGGAATTTACACGTGGGCAGATTTGACTGGAAAGAGAAAAATAATACGGGGCCATAGTTTGTTGTGGGAAAAACATACGCAGACGTGTATTTTGCTTTAATCACACTTGTTTCATTACTGTATTTTCCGGGCTATTAGTCGCTCTGGATTATAAGGTCGCACTGTCATTAAATGGTCTATTTTCAAACTTTTTTCACAAATAAACCGCACCGGACAGTGTGACAGGTGAGTGGTTTTGTTTGTTTGTGGCGTTGACGGTGACTCTGGGCTTTGTTCAGTTGTGGCGTGTAGGGAGGGTGCTGTCTGGGACCAACTGGATTGTCGGCGTGTTCGCAGTGACTCAGTTGTTCAGTCGTGTCTAGAAGTGGCACATTGCTTTTTCGGTTCGTTCCTCGTCGGCGTGGAGTGATGAGTGTGTCTGTGAGTGTTTTTCACTGTGCGGTCGCTGTCTGCTCCGTGTGTGTTTGTGTGTTCTGCGGGTGTTGCGGCTTTGTAGTTTACTGAAGTCGTACTGGGACACCTGAGTGGATTCGTGTATGGGGCGCTCTGGATTGTGGCACGCGGTCGTTTTTTTGATGCGGTTAGAGGCTTAAGAGCGCGTCTAATAGCTTGGAAAATACGGTAATTTATAAATCAAGTCGTCTTCTCTGAGCACTCAAAAATGCTGTTTGTATTTTTGCTGGATTGTTGTGTCAAAGTGCGCTCAGACCAGGGCGTCAAAAAAACGCGTTGGACAAAAATGGGCGTCCATTCAAGTCACTGGGCCGAGCTCAATGACGCATGATTCCAGATTCACCTTTCGCCCAGTGAGGTACTTCCGGTGGCTGAGGGCCGACTGAGCATGTGCAGAAGTGCTCTTTTCTTCCGCGGGCACACGCCAATGTACGCAAACGCACGCACGGAGCGCAGTGATCGCTTTGACCAATCACAACGAGAGGAGTCAGAGCTGAGCCGGAGCGAACGATGATAATGCGCTTTTTAAGACAACTTAAGGATTTTGAGCTGACAAAAAGTTTATGATCTAAAAATTGGTAAAAATCACCACAAAATCCGACATTTTTGAAAGTTGTAGGTGCCCTGTCAGCCGAACACGAGCAGTTTGTGATTACATTGGCTCTATGAGAAAAATCTTGTCTCAGCCCAGGGGATTTTCCAGTGAGTGTCACTACGTCAACTGGAATGCCCCTGATTGTCCATTGCCCTGGAAACAAGTGCCACTTTCCCAGTCTTTTCCCAGAATGATAGCAGACCATGTTGAGAAAGTGGCTTTAGTTTTTTTAATAAATAAAACCCATCAGTGGAGGTGATCGGCTCAGAGGCTGCAGCATGTTTATATTTATACTCTGCTAATGACACGGCATAGATTTCTTTTTCTGATGTTTCCCGAGTCTCTTTATTTTTCTTCTTCCAGATAATAACATCGCTTCATCTCTGATTCCATCCCTGATTGACTGATACGGCGCATCCAACGTCAAAAGTTCAGCATTTTCAACTTCTGACGCCGATGACCTAGAAGCATGTCTAGAGCTTTGATGCCTGAATGCTCAAGACATGCCACGTCAACAACAGATTGACACCGCGCTGACGCCTGAAGATGTGCCTCAAAAACGCAGGATGCCCGAGACACGCGTCCACATAGACCTATAAACTGGACGCCTTGACGCTCCGGTCTGAATGCACCATCACAAGTAAAAGTCCAGACTTTGCCGAGCAGTTTTTCATTACCATAAACCATCATCAGACTCATTCTGTTCCTCCGCTGAGATTAATAATTGTAATGTCATACTGCGGAACATTCCAGGCAACATCTCCATGAATAGCAGAAGGTGACTAGCCAGGCTGCCCCCTCTGCTCAGTTTCATTTCTCTCCAGCGACTAGGTCAGGAATCGGAATACACAAGACGGTTTGCAAGAAACCCGGAAGTTGTAGACTCTTTGTTTCACAGTGAAGAGCTGTGAAGCCATGACGTTAAACCATGGATCTATTAAAATAACTGGATACAGTATTGCTGCTTGTAGCTGCCTCCAGTTGACGTAGTGTCACTCACTGGAACTTCAGCAGAAAAAGTCTCATGGGCCGGGACAAGATTTTTCTCATAGAGGCAATGTAATCACAAACTGCTCGTGTTCGTCTGACAGGGACCTACAGCTTTCAAAAATATCGGATTTGTTGGCGATTTTTACCTATTTTTAGATCATAAACTTTTTCTCGCTCAAAATCCATTCAGTTGTCTTAAAAAAACGCTTTATATTCGTTAGCTCCTGCTCCGCTCTGCTCTGCTCTAGCTCCTCTTGCTCTGATTGGTCAAAGCGATCACGTGATACACGAGCCCGCGCTCCATGTGTGTGGTCGCGTGCATTGGCGTGTGTCCGCGGGAGAAAAGAGCACTTCTGCGCATGCTCGGACGGCCCACAGCCACCGGAAGTACCTAGCCATGCTAGGCTAATCTGGGATCATGCACCATTGAGCTCGGCCCATTGACTTGAATGGGCGGCCATTTTGGAACCTGGGGGCTTGTGGAATAAAGAGAATGTTTGGTGAATTTTATCAAGGGGAAAGACGTTATTGTCCTTCTTCCTACGGGATTTGGCGCGTTACATACATCATGACAAAATAGCAGCGATTGGTTAAATAAAAAACTACCCGCCTACTGTCGAGCGAACAAATCCAGATGCTGCGAGGTCAGACGGTTTCCACGAAATGAAACCGGCTGATGAATCAGTCTAGCAGGTGATGACCCCTCCAGAAAAGTTACTCAATGCACTTTTAACTACAAACTCAATTAAAATTCGATTAAATAAATAAACCGTAATTCAAGCTGCTCTGAAAGCTGCTGTAATATGTGTATCACTTTAACCGTGCTGTGATCTTCCTCGAGCCCGTTAACCACACGTTTGTAACGCCATTTAACCGTGAAGTGTAATAACTATAACTGTAAGATAATACACATCTACTGACGTCACAGACACACGCTAAATGACCTGGCGTGATTTGTAGTAGTAGTTGTAATTTAGTAAAAACTATGCAATATTAGTAATAACTTTATTCAGATGCCCATCCCTGTTTACCCTGTAATATCTGCTCAGGGCCGACGCCGAGGCTGCTCATTTCCAACATTACTGTCATTAACCGCCTGTGTGTGATGTTGTAATGTAATCAAGCTTGTATTATAACCAACTCTAGCCAGGTCTGATGAGAGCTTTCACGATGACTCAATTTAAAGTAGTGTATTATTTCAATCAGGAGGCTGCGTTTAGATGAGGTCATATTTTGATTCTTTATAGTTTAACAATTTGGATTGAGGACAGGTTACATGGATGTCTACGGTTGAATTTGCTCTTAAAAAGGCGTGTACCGACTTTATAACCATGGGTGGGGAATAGGATCGTTTAGTTCAATAATAAAACTGCACCCGCCCACTTGAGATGTTTCCAAAGACGGTGTAAATGGACACAGCTCACCTGCTCTGTCTGCAACTGCTGCTGTTCGTGTTAAATCGCTGTAAGAGAATTTAATTAATTTACTCTCCACGTGCATCTCTCAGTTTAATATTGACTCACACAGTGTTGGGGAGTAACAGATTACATGTACCGGAGTTACGTAATCAGAGTACAAATTATGAGTAACTGTATTCAGTTACAGTTACTGTTTCAGTGAGTGGTAATTGGATTACAGTTACTTTGTTGAAATAAATGGATTACACGGCGGTATTTTGTGTTTTCACATTTCAGGCTATATCCCTTTTTATTTTTTTTTTGGTAATTCCACTCATTGCCGGACACTAAACCAGGTCCAAACCAGGTCTAAACCAGGTCTAAACCAGGTCTAAAACCAGGTCTAAAACCAGGTCTAAAACCAGGTCTAAACCGGGTCTAAAACTGGGTCTAAACCAGGTCTAAACCTAAACCAGGTCTAAACCAGGTCTAAAACCAGGTCTAAAAACCCTAAACCAGGTCTAAAACCAGGTCTCAAAAACCAGGTCTAAAACCAGGTCTAAAAACCAGGTCTAAAACCAGGTCTAAAACCAGGTCTAAACCGGGTCTAAACCAGGTCTAAAACCAGGTCTTAAAACCAGGTCTAAAACCAGGTCTAAACGAGGCCTAAACCAGGTCTAAAACCAGGTCTAAACTAGGTCTAAAACCAGGTCTAAACTAGGTCTAAAACCAGGTCTAAAACTAGGTCTAAACCAAGACTAAAACCAGGACTAAAACCAGATCTAACCCAGGAATAAACCAGGTCTAAACCAGGAAACCAGGTCTAAACCAGGTCTAAAACCAGGTCTAAACCAGGTCTAAACCAGGTCTAAACCAGGTCTAAACCGGGTCTAAACCCAGGTGTGCAAAAAGGCGTGTGCAGGTGTGAACGCGCCTTTGTAACGGCAGTAAACTATCGTCCTGATATAAAGTAGTGACCTTCTTCTGCGTGCTGTTTCTTCTCCTCCACAGTGCTGCAGAAGTCATGCACGTCGCTGTAGGCTCGAGTCAGACGCCACAAAAAGTTGGAGTTCTGTCCCAACTGGAAAAAGACACAAGGAAATTATGATACTTTTTTTTTTTTAAATAAACATATTACTTACATTATTCCATCTTTATAACAAACCAAGCCAGTAGAAAGATAAAAAAGGTGAGATAGTGGGTCTAGTTTTTACATTTTAACACAAAAAATGAAACATATCTGACCTTTGCTGTTTATTTTATCTATTTTATTTTCTGACATATGAACTTAAATCATGTCCAACAATCCATGTGTCATTCGTTCATTTGTTTTTCAATATAAAAACAAAAATAATAATAAAAAAAAAAAACTGTTTTCTTCATTATTTGTCTCCAAACCAGACCGGGACCAGACCAGACCGAGACCAGAGCGGGACTGAGACTGAGGGACTGAGACCGGGACCAGACCGAGACTGAGAGACAGACCGGGACCAGAGCGGGACTGAGACCGGGACCAGAGCGGGACTGAGACCGGGACCAGAGTGGGACTGAGACCGGGACCAGACCGGGACCAGGACTGTGACCAGGACCAGAGCAGGACCAGACCGGGACTGAGACCAGGACCAGAGCAGGACTGAGACCGGGACCAGAGCGGGACTGAGACAAAGACCAGGCCAAGACCAGGCCGGGACCAGGCCGGGACCAGACCGGGACCAGACCGGGACCAGACCGGGACCAGACCGGGACTGAGACCGGGACTGAGACCGAGACCAGACCAGGACCACACCGGGACTAAGACCGAGACCAGACCGGGACCAGACCGGGACCAGGCCGGAGGCTCAGAGCCCAGGGCAGGGCCAGAGCTTGAAGCTGAGGCTCGGACCCTGCAGAGGCTCAGAGTCAAAGCTTGGACTCCGCTCTGGTCCCGGTCTCAGCCCCGCTCAGGTCCCGGACCTGGATCAGTCCTGGTTCAGTCTGTATGCAGCGCAAAAGTCCGGCATCGCAGTCACGGAAGTCACGGAAACGGCCGTTATCCGTTTTTTCCATTCTTCATTTAAACACAAAATCGAAAATTGGAAAAAAACAAATCATTATCCGTTTTTTCATTTTGGATTTGGAGACAAATAATAAAGAAAACTGTTTTTTTTTTTTTTCGTTTTCTTATTTTTGGTTTTATATTGAAAAACAAATGAACAAATAATACACAGATTTCTAACCTTATCTTGATGATGTAAGGCCTTTTTTTTAACCCACTTGTTGTCTGTGTTGCAGGAGCAGGCCGAGACTCTCCCTCTTGTCAGACTCCGGTCCCTGGTGCAGTCGGTCGATTTTCGCAAACAGAGCCGCGTTTGGATCCAGAGGGGGGCGCTCTTCCTCCCCCCTCCTCCTCCTCTCTGCGACGGCCTCCTCCTCGTCCTCGTCCGAGTCGGTCAAAGCAGTGATGTATCTGAAAACAAAAAAAAAACACATGTCACGAAAACGAACCAGACTTTCTATTAATACTTGTTCAACTTCCAGGAAATCTTAAAATCTGGCATTCTGAAAACACAAGCTGTAGCAAAAGTGGTCTTAGTCCGTTTACAATAGCACTAATGAACCTGAGCGAGTACAGGATGCAACTGCAACACACGCACAAAGAAAGGCCCCATTCATGACAATACTGACATAATTTACAATAGAGCAGAGCAGGGCCGCGAGATGAATTAAATCACAATTTGAATGAATGTAATCAGCAAATTGCAAAGGCTGCAATTTTTGGAATGCCATAATTTCCTCCAAAAACAACAGAATATTTGGTGTAACTGTGCATAAAACCTGCTAACCCTGTCGTTTAGATCTGTACAAACACGTTGTGAAATGTGATTCTTGTATTAGTTTGTCAGTTCATTTATCTTCTGGACACATTTGAGAAGTGAACTTTGAACAGAATCCTATTGTTCAAACATAAATCGCAGTCCTTGTCAGAAAAAAAATCACATTTAGATATTTTCCCAAATTGTCACGCCCTGGAGCACGAATAGTACAAATGGAAAATATATTGATATAATTTAAAAAGATAAAAGAAACTAGTTTAATCAAGTGATATTTCTGAACTTTTACATTTTACAGTCAATTACATTTGCGTGTGATACCCAAATGCAATCAAAACATTTACAGACACATTCTAACACATTTTGATCGACTGCAAAAATATGACTGAGCTATTGTTCTTGGGACAATCCCAAAAAACTCATTCAGATATTTGAGAATGTCACTCACCCTCAGCGCTGTCACTACAGGTCTGATCTGGAACGGTCTCGTCTTACTTTTAGTTTGTTTGTTTTGCTGTACTGAAAATGCTCATCATAGTTTTTAGTTACACGTATCATAGGTTTTACGATACAAGAATTTCAAACGCGATTTCAGCACGAAGGAATAGATTTGATACGTAATACTACGGAAGCCGAGAGGGGTCACAACAAAAGCAAACGTCGCAACTAGGGATGGGCAGTCAATGAAATTTTCTTAATCGATCGTCGAGAGAATTAACGATCGATTATCGATTAATCATTAACGTTTTTATATTAAAATGATCATCATTATTAATACTATCTGCACTAATCTGCATAAATAAATTCAACTTTACGACAAATAAACCGTAACGACTCTAGAGCCACATCAGCCTGTTTGACATTATAATGTGTTTAATTCAGTTTTGTTCAACTCTCACAGAAACAAAACTTAAAACCACATCACTAATTTGCATAAAGTAAGCGAAGATAAAACTCCAGCTCTTGTGTCGCTGATGTGGTTCAATTTCTGTCGGATTAAAAGACATGACTCAGGTGAATACAGGTTAGTGTGACCAGATTTGCGTTTGTCAAAACCAGGACAGCGTACGGGGGGAGGGGGGCGGGGCCTCGTCATCCACATTGAGCGACTCTCACCTGGAAAAACTTTTTCCCACTGGACACAGACACATATGTGCTGCTTTATACACTGTGCACATGGACTCACACTTGTCTCAAACGCAATGGAAAGTGTGGAATTTCTTGTACAAATCATCGTTAAATACGCATATGCACTTCGGTACGTTGCAGGCGGACTGACTGTTTGTGTTTGCTCGCTCCTTCTGATGCAGAGACACATGTACAGACCCTGTTTGGTCACTACACACAGCAACCTGCATTTGGTTTGTCGATTAAAATTTACGTAATTGATGAAATTCTTAATGATCAATTATCGATTAATCGACTAATCATGCCCATCCCTAGTCGCAACAAATACAAATGCGACAACACAACAAAAAGCCACAAAACATTAAAAAGCCACAGCACATCAAAAAGCCACAACACATTAAAAAGCCACAACGGAAGTGATCGCGGGACTCTATTTTCCGACGGACCGATCAAGCGGCAAGTGAAGAAGAAGAACTACAACCTGAAACGAATAATGATAAAACAATAAATTACTTTTACTTACGTTTCCTACTTCTCCGTTCCTTTACTTTTTACTGTTTCTTTTTAATGTGTTGTGGCGTTTGTATTTGTTGCGGCATTTGCATTAAAATAGAGTCCCGCGGTCATTTCCGTTGTGGCTTTTTTATTTTTTTGTTTTGGACCGAAAATCGCTATCTCAAACACAATTTTGGGAGCATCAAAGCCATGTTTTTTTGCAGTGCTCCTAAAGCCCAATTTAAGGGTGAAGTTTAGTTCTGCATTGACTCAACACACACTGCCGCCGTCGCCTTTGTTTTCGCTTTGTGGATCTGCGTCGAGGTCTATGCGCCGCAAAGTCATTCACCACCACAACGCAAGGAGGCGAGGATTTAAAGCTGGCGTTCGCGTAAAGTTTAACGTGAACCATCTCCGACGCGATAGAAGCACAGAACAGACTCACCATCAGCAGCACATCTTCTGTCACAGAAAGAACACTCATATTCCACTGAGTCGTGTCCTTTAGTTCCGACAAAAGCTGAACCGCATCAGTGCACAAGTAGAGAGCTGTTTTTTTTCCCCAGCGTTTATAGTTTATGCAAATGAGCCATGTGGTTTTAAGTTTAGTTTATGTAAAACGTAAACAATTGTGTGCAAAGCTGCATTAAACACTTTATTACTCAGTGTATATTGAAAAAAAGGAAAGCGGAGTACAGGAAATGTCTGGAGAGATGACCAATCACAGCCCTTATCGTCTGCGTAAATTTGGACTTTACGGTCCAGCGTCAAATCGTCGGTGCAGGATTCTGGTATGATGTAAGTTTCTGTGATGTTTGTAAATGTTCATGTGCACTGAAACTTGATAAAAAAATAAAAAATTTAAAAAAATCATGGATGAAATCAAAATATCTCACAGAAAAATCCCAATTAAATTTTTTCTTAAAATCGTTCAGCCCTACGTGTGAATTTGAGTTTTTCAGTATCGATACCTGCTCAAAATTAGTACCTTCTGTAGTTTCGATACCAGCTTTAGCATCGATTAGTATCCGATTTTCGATACTTTTGACAACCCTAGTTAAAACGCAAACTAAGCAAAACCAAGACATGTTAAAAGAACACTGCGTCAGCAATGAGATCCAAGAAAGGTTTGCGTAAACATCTGGTTCATTGCACTGTCTTTTGTCTATTCATTCTTTTTTACACGGCATTTAATTGTAGCTTACAAAACGTTTCTAATGCCAATATCGGAGGGTGTAATAAAAACACAGAACAAAATGACTTAACCTGGGTGGGCACTTTTGAAATAAACAACGTCAACACGAAGACACCGCAATAAAACTGAACATTTGATAAACAATTTTGGTGTCTCTCCGCGAAGATGTACCTGCCTGTGTGGTGCGTTCAAAACCGCCTTCAACGAGAAGAATTTTTAAGATCAATTTGAATCCTGATTTAACAAGGACTTTTTCGAGTGCTGTGCCAGGCGCTGCTGATTAGAGGGATCAGTGTAGTGCGCCTGCTTTCTTACCACGTTTGTTTATATAAGCGGGTCGCCTAATTGTTTATAATACCAGCTGTTAAGAAACGTTTGACGTCTTCTGCGGATCCCCTTAGGCTTTTCCTCTAAACTGAGACTTGTTTGTGAGAAGGAGGCACGCAACATCACACTTATACGTTTTATGGCGCTTTTTCAAACACGGGGGAGGTCAAAGAGGTCCAAGTATCAATATGCGAATACGTATGTGTGCACTCAAAATCCAAAAGGGGTTTCCTGGATAATAAAGGTTAATAAATGTTAATAGGTTAATAAAAAAAATGGTGATTAAACGGTGATTAAACCAGGATTTCACTTTTGATACATAAAACATATCAAAATAGTGAATCAAATACAATTACAAATTACAAATACAAGTTTTTTGTGTTATTTTCATAGTATTTATCAATAAACATAACATTTAATTCAATAACACAATCTCTGTAAAAAGCAGAGTTAGGCCTCACTCAGACTGCACCGGTTCAGCTCTGAATGCCGTCTTGGAGCGGTGTGGTTGTGGTAGTGTTGTGGTGTCGGAACAGTATTATTGTGGTGCTGGAGCGGTGTTGTTGTGGTATTAGAGCAGTGTAGTTGTGGTGTTGGAATGGTGTTGTTGTGGTATTGCAGCAATGTTGTTGTGGTATTGGAGCGGCGTTGTTGTGGTATTGGAGCGGCGTTGTTGTGGTATTGGAGCGGCGTTGTTGTGGTATTGGAGCGGCGTTGTTGTGGTATTGGAGCGGCGTTGTTGTGGTATTGCAGTGATGTTGTTGTGGTATTGGAGCGATGTTGTTGTGGTATTGCAGTGATGTTGTTGTGGTGTTGTTGTGGTATTGGAGCGATGTTGTTGTGGTATTGCAGTGTTTTTGTTGTGGTGTTGTTGTTGTGGTATTGCAGCTGCGTTGTTGTGGTATTGCAGCAATGTTGTTGTGGTGTTGGAGTGCTGGTGTTGTTGTGGTGTTGTTGTATTGCAGCGGTGTTGTGGTATTGGAGCAGCGTTGTTGTTGTGTGTTGTTGCGGTATTGCAGCGGCGTTGTTGTGATGTTGCAGCGGTGTTGTTGTGGTATTGCAGCGGTGCTGTTGTCGTGTTGTTGTGGCGTGACACTTGGGTGCTCTGCTCTGCTGTTTTGTCAGTTTTGCGTGAGACTGTGTGTGACCACATGTTCAAACCATAACTAACATTTATTAAGAGAAAAGGCTGCGGTGGGCTCCAGTCCGACAAAATGAACTCCCAAAGGAAAGAATGTGGAGCCCCACAGCAGCCCCTCTGTGCTCCCAGGACAGTCTGAGCTCCTCTTGTTACTTTGAATTATTCTGAATACTTGTGGCTACTGCACCGGAGCTCCACCGTGTGCTGTCTGAGCCAGTGGTTAGGCCTCTACAAAGCTTTTTTCTTCCTGTATTTGTGAAAGTATGACATGATAATCCTGCCAGAGTATTAAGATTGACTCACTGTTTATTGAATTGCAAGAGTTGTATTGAAATTTGTACTACGCAAGA